CAACATCCCCCCCCCCCCTCTTCAAGTAACAAACTCTTTCTCCTGTGGGAACATATCGTAGAGAGAAACATCTTTGTTAATATATGAATAACTTTTATACAAACATTATATAAATTAAATACATAAATAACTTTGTTATTCATGTATTAGATGTAGCTTTATCCACCTACCAAATAACCCCTAAGGTAATTTTTATTTTTATTTTCCCCTCAGTGTTCGATATCCATATTAGAGCCTCACTAAATTTGAATTTGTGTCGAAAAATCTTAGATTATGGGTAAAGCGCTCTAACAGAGATGATTTTATAGCCAAAAAGACTCAAACTGGAACCTCTAATTAAGAATGAATAAGTACTTATTACTCCACCACATAATTAAAAACTTAGATAAAAGGAATTAAGAGGAGTTGTATCATATATTACTATAAGCGGGAATAAAAAAAGTTAAAAGTTGAATTACCGTTTTACCCCTATTATAAATTAAAATGTTATAAAATATTTAACTATTTAATTTAAATATTAAATTGTATCGTTTTAATAAAAATGTTAATGATTTTTTCACTTCCTTAGATTAAACTCATTTAAATTGGTACATGAATCAAATTCACATTAATAGTCAATTTCTCTTTTTCTGTAAAATCAAGAGTATTTGAAGAGTTTTCCATTAAATAAATTTGATATGGACTAAAATCATTAAACTAAATTAATGCAAATTAATTATCTACTCAAAGGTCATCCTAGCTATTGCTATAAAATGCCTAGCATGGTTTTCATGTAAATGATAAGAGGAGGATGAGAGACTATCCTGCAAAAAACTAATCTTGCTCATCATTTTGTATGTGCAGTAATTTCCTTTTGTTTTTATCCGCTCCTCCTTGTCCAGCCAAAGTATTTTATATGTCCTTTTTTTATATTTTGATATGCTTTCTTATGATTTTGTTTTTCTATTGAAATATCTTGTATCCTACATGAAGAAAGTAGTGATATACAATTCATGTTCTATCAATAATTGATGAAAGATTAATTAGTTAATTTGATATGTTTATTTGGCTCTTGATAGAGTGTTCTACTTTAGTAAAAATATTTTTTCGAGATTATTATTTATGAGTAGGGAGAGGAATAACTAAATGAGAAAAATCAAATATGTTTTTTTTTTAAAAATAAAAGAATCCATACCCTAAAATAAACTGGGCCACCGAATTGGAGATAAATGATGGATCATAGTATGTGATTTTGAGGCTGTATTTTTATTTAACTTTTCATTTATATGTATAATCTATTGACCTTATTAGTCTATTATTCATGTGTTGAAACATTCATTCCTCAAATTGTCCATATATGTTATATAGAGAAAAGGGTCAAAATTACCCATCAACTTTATTTTATTGGTTGATTTTACTCTTACCGTTAAAAGCAAGTTATTTTTACCCCTGCCGTCAATAAACTTAACAAATATATCCCTCCTTGGACGGAAATCCCCAAATCAATTGAAATTATTCAATTTTAATTGAAATTATCCAATTTCTTTTTTAACCTGAACCAGAACCCAACCCACTAAACTAAACAAATAAACCCATTTCCAATCTTCTTCATCTCAGTGTTCATGGCTAAGTACCCTAAGAACACTCACAATCTTTATCATAGCTAACACAAATTCTACATTGTCTAACAAAATCAATCGAAAAGACCTGATATTTATCTCCAAATTGTTTGTTGAAGGTTGCCTAGGCTAAACACTGCAGTCGTTCAATCACATGATTTGCTACATACAAGAAATCAGTAATCATCAAATATCCAGTACTCATCAAATATGATGATATATTGGAAACATTTTGAACAAATAAAAAGATAGAGAAAAGAAAAACCTCCCCTCCATTGTAGCTTAATTTTACGTGCACATACAAGAATCATGGAGGGCCACTGAATTGATTTACGAGCCAGGTAAAGAAGAATTAGATGTACTATTGGGTACACATTTAGGGGCAGCCTACTGACAACAAATCAAAAAGTAATTTGGTTGGTACCTAGAAATGGTTTTCTTCATTGGATTGAATGATGATGTGTAAATTGAAACTTTTCCATTTACTTGCTCTGTGGCTTGTTCTTCGCTGAACCCCACAACAGAGAGAGGCGGGATGTTGTTCAGCAAAAATAATTTACTTGTTATACATTCAACCAACGAACCTTTTCAATTGATTTTGTCAGACAATGTAGGATTTATGTGTTAGCTATGATAAAGATTGTGAGTGTTCTTAGGGTACTTAGCCAAGAACACTGAGATGAAGAAGATTGGAAATGGGTTAATTTGTTTAGTTTAGTGGGTTGGGTTCTAGTTCGGGTTAAAAAAGAAATTGGATAATTTCAATTAAAATCGGGTAATTTCAATTGATTTGGGGGTTTCCGTTCAAGGAGGGGTATATTTGTTAAGTTTATTGACGACAGGGGTAAAAATAACTTGTTTTTAATGGTAAGGATAAAGTTAACCAATAAAACAAAACTGAGGGGTAATTTTGACCCTTTTCCCTATTATATATCTAGAATAAGTCATTTTGAAAAGTTTGTGTTGCTCAATTTATATTAATTATTCAAATGTCTATTTACTGTGATAAGAAGCTATTTATTATTGATGTAGAATTTTAACTATGGCTGAAAAATTGTCAAACTCCTATCTCCAGATTATTGGCTGAACCCATAAGTAGTTAAGTAGTAATTGTCCAAATTAGAATGTCTACTTTTGCCTTAGAGATATTGTTTATGAGAATGTGATACATTCTTTTGCCATTGAATGTTAATTATTACTCATACATATATTTTTTTAATATCAAATGGTTTAATCTTTTGTATATATTATAATTACTTATTAAAAGTGAAAACTCGAAAGTGTATAGTTGAATTACCATTTTGCCCCTACACTAAATCAAATACCTAATTAATAAATTATTATATATCATTAACGTACACATTAAAGATTCAATAAATGTAAGGTTAAAAATAAACTAGATTTGTATTTGAATAGTAATTGTTCATTACAATTCAAAATTAAAAGTTGAATATGAAGAATCATTCTCCACTATTATGTAAAAACACTTCCAAAATTAAAATTTGAATTTGCTTTTTAAGAACCAATTTCACAAAGATTGATGTTATCATAGGAAGGTAATTGCACAATCAAATTTCAACATGAGAAGAAAAGAGAGTGAGAAACAACAAATGAAGGTTAACAAAAAATGCTCCAGTATATATTTTTTATTATTTAGTAAATAAAATATAAATGATAAAACTACTATTGTTAATTTCAGCATTTTCTATTTTATAACTCAACTTTTTAGTATATAAAAATTTAATAATAATAAGGAACACACGCGAGAAAAAAAAAGGAGAGGAACAAACGCGTTCCCAAGAAGTAGTAAAATAAAATGACGAAAGAAGTGTGAGGAAGTAGTCAACTGTTGAGGTATTTCTACAACACCAATCAATCGATCCGATATCTCTTTTTCCATTTTTTCCTTGTCCGCCACTTCTTCTTCATCAGCTTATAAGGTTAGATTTCTGATTATTATTTTGAATTTGAATCTGAATCTGAATTTGTGCTGTTTGGGGATGGATATAGGGTTTTGCTGCCATTGTTTCTGTTTATGCTAATTCTTTTTACTTCTTTCCATCTTTTACATTTCAATATTGGGTAAGTTAAAATTGTTCCATTTCCAAGGATTTGTAGATTGATATTAGCAGAAAAGGGTATTTACTGTTTCATGCTCCTTAAATTACCTGCAAAATTGCTCTATATGCTAATTTGATTTGTAGCTCAAAAATAATTATTGACTAGTTAATGAAAAGACTAGAAAACCACATGACTACTTCTTTACTAGTCTCCTCTTATTGACTCTATTTGGCTGATATTATCCGAGGACATTGGAACTTTGGGTGTGTACGGTACCAAGGAAAATATTTTTTGAAAAATATTTTCTAGGAAAATAAGTGAGATTCTTATGTATATTTTGTGTTTGGTATATAAGCAAAAAAAATTTAATATTATTCTAAAAGCATTTATGTATTATCTAGACAATACTATGAGGGACGGAGGTGGGGTAGATGTGTAGGGTAGTGGGTATGGAAGCTACGGGAGTGAGGTGAATATGTGGTGTCTTAGAGAGTGGGAGGACATACTCAATTGAAATGTCACATATGAAACTTGTTTTCCCTACTTCCTTTAGAAAGTCATTTTCTTCATTTGAATTTTGAAGTGTCACGTATGGAACTTGTTTTCCTAAGAAAATCTTTTCCAAAAATTTTGATTAGAAACTATTTTCTACGGAACACACCCTTTATCCGATGCTAATTTGAGATATTGATACACGAAGACTAAGTATGTATTATATTTTTCCTTTTTTCTTGTTTTTATTTATTCTTTGGTTATGCTCCAGATATATAGGCAAAGCGCAAGAAACTTTTATTCAGGAAAAACCCAAAGACTTAGTCAGCTTATTAATTGTGTATCGAAAATAAAGGAGAAAGTTAAAGAATTAGCAAATCTTGAATACTGCACACCAAACAATGAAAGATGCAGAGCCAAAATATAAAACGAAGTACAAATGAAGACTCATCTGCAATTGCTAAGATAAATCTAAGAATTAATTTGTTTTGTACCAGAATGTATACAGCGGAGGCCATAAATGGATGTGTAAAGGATCAAAACGTTAATGAGTAAATGGATGTTAATCAAGAGACTAGAAGTGCACTAACACTTGAAACTTAAAGGACTATTAGTGCACCATATAAAAGAAAGGGAAGGGATGACTTTGAGTCTGAAGCCAAACATAAAGAACTATTTTGGATCTTTTCTCCCAAATTGATCTACAAGAAATTTTGTCAAAATATTTTTAAAAATATGTTTACCCATAATATGTGTATTGGCTTGCGGATATAAATATTTGTGGCCGAGTGGTCAAATGTGTAACTTCCCCTTTTTTGCTTCACATTGGTAATGCTGCTGCTTGATCTTCTTCGTTGCACTGTGTGTTCTATTAATGCATGTTTTCTAGATCTATTCTATTTCAATATGTTTGTAAGTTGCCTCATTCTACTTATATTTCCACCAGTATGGATGGTCGCCGTCCTTTACCAGAAGATCTAGTAGTTGATATTCTATTGAGATTGCCAGTGGAATCACTCTTGCGTTTCAAATGTGTGTGCAAGCACTGGTATGCTCTCATCAAAAGTCCGAGTTTCATAGAAAAACATTTTCATCACAAGAATAATTGTGCCCGCCTCCTTGTTTGCATCTTGAAAGTAGCACGTGTACACCCCATCGTAAGGTCTGTTGTATTCTCCTTGCTCCCTGAAGAAATTGTTCCAGGTGTGACCCCTGAACAAAAAACTCTCCTTCAGCTTCGGATCACTGATTTCACGTGTGTTGCTGGTCCAGTTAATGGCTTATTCTTAGTGCAGAAGAAGTTTTATGGATACAATGTCTGCTTGGGTTTGTGGAATCCTGCCACCAGAGAGTTCAGGTCTCTGCCTCCTGCGCCTTTTGTGATTGAGTACTTTTTCTCGGACCATGATCATCAGTTCGGATTGGGATTTGACCTGTTGACTCTAGATTATAAGGTTGTATGGATTCGAGTGTTCTGGGATGAACTGGGACAAGGTGCTAATAATCGTGTCTATGCCTGTGTCTATTCCTCATGCAACAATTCATGGAAATACCTTACTCCTGAATTCCCTCCCAGTTCTACCTTATCTGCACCCCTTGACGCCACTTATCTCAACGGGGTTTATTATTGGCTTTGTAGGGGCCTTGATGAGATCTACACGATTCGCTCTTTTGACATGGGCAGCGAACAGTTTGGGGAGATGCAAGTCCCAGATATTCCAAGTGAACATTGGGGGACACTTACATTGCATGGCGGCTCACTTGCTATGTTAACCGGAGACCCTGGTAAACCAATGACATCCATATACGATGTGTGGGTAATGAAACAAGACAGAAATTGGTCCAAAGTTCTAACTGTACAACCTCATATAGATGCTCATTGGCCTCGCAACATCTTGGATAATGATAAGATGGTTTTCGAGATCACAGAAACTTCACAGCTGGTGCGATATGACCCTAAAACAAGACAAGTTACAGATCTTGGATTTCACCTGGACCTTAACATTGCTGGCTGTTGGGTTTTCAATTACAAGGAGAGCCTAGCTCCAATAAAGAGAGGAAACGAGACACAGGGCGAGGTCGAGCAAATTGAACACTTCTTCTATACCATACCAATGGATGAGTATCGTTAAGATTTGGAATACAAAATACTATAATGATAATAATTGAAAAACAGGAAGAAAAAAAAACGATTTACCTGTAATATTGTGACATTAGTTCGTATCTTGTCTTCTTATAACATTGTGTTTGAGCTTAAAATTGTTTGGATCAGTCATCTTTGTACTATTATTGAATAAAAAGCTGACATGGTATTTTTTGTTTATGGTATCAAGGGGCATTCCTTTTGGACCAACACAATTTAAGCTAAGTTGCGCGTGTACTCTCCACTCATGTTAGATTCTCCAAAAATACACTACTACTTTTAGAGTATCGGCAAGCAACAGACTTTAAGTACTCGGCATCAATATCTGTATTTTGGTCCACTTGAAAAATCCTAAATCTTGTTTCTAGTTTAACAGTTCAAAAATGTAATATATATTACGGAGAAGGGCCTAACATACCCTTCAAGTATAGGGAATGGAACAAAAATACCCTCCATCCACCTTTGGGCTCAAAAATACCCTTTCATCCATCTATATGGACCTATATTACCCTTTCACTTAACAGATTTTTTATGAGTAATAATTAATCTTTTCATTAATGATGTGACAATCTTTAATTGGCTGGAATTTAGATTAAGCAAAAACAATAATTTCTCCAAATCAAACCCGGATCCAACTAAACTCTACCCAACCCACGTAAAATTTTACTGACCCATATCTTTAAAAAAAAACAAGAAGAATCGAGTGTGTAGCGGTGAGTTTCCTTTTTTTTCTCTGTACACTGAATTTCTCTCCATATAATTTTCTCGTAAAATTTGCAGATGAAGAAAAGCGATATCTATCGCTTTTCTTCATCAAGTATATAATCTCTTGCTATGGCTAAATTTTTTATTTTTTTTTTATATTCTATTCCATGATTCTGCTTTGAGAATTTCCCAAAATTATGTTGGTTTTGCTTTTTGCGTGCGGTGCTTTATATGAATCGCAAAAAAGAAAGAAGTGAAATAATTTTTGAACTCTAGGGTTTCGGATTTTGAGAAATTTTACCGCTTTGAGTTTATGTTTCCCAGAGATTGGAGATTTGCTGGACTTTTCATAGTGTTTCAAAATATGGTGTATATTGGTATATGATTATAGTGGCACTTGATCTTGTATTTCACTTCTTCCTTCTTGGAATGTTTCCAGGGAATTTTCGGAAGTTTCATGTTGTTTATGGTCTAATGTACCTCTTTTTTGACTGGGATTAAAAATAACTGGAGCAAGTTGTTGATTGAAGTTTGATTATTTAAGATATGGGTCAATAGAATTTTAAGTGAGTCGGGTGGAATTTAGTTGGATCTGGGTTTAATTAAGAGAAATTCTTATTTTGGTTAATTCCAATTTCAACCAATTAAAGACTGTCACATCATTAATGAAAAGATTAATTATTAGTCTTAAAGAATCTGTTAAGTGAAAGGGTAATATAGGTCCATATAGATGGATGGAAGGGTATTTTGGAGCCTAAAGGTGGAAGAGGGTATTTTTGTTCCATTACCTATACTTGAAGGGTATTTTAGGCCCTCCTCCGTATTTATTATTTAATGTGATTTAGCTGTATCAATCAATGAACTAGCCCTCACTCTTAAGTGGATCAGGCCATTTACTATTTTGTTTACATAATTTTCCTTAACAAGGGATAATGTACTAGTGAAAGTTAGAAAGTATGAAAAAAACAGGCACGAATAAGGAAAGTAAGGAGTAAGATGTGCATGTCATGCACTCAATGTTCTAGTCATAGTTTCGAGCCTATGCTATTGACTAACTTAATAAATTTGTCTCGAATACAAAAGACATGTAAAAAATTATATACATATGGAGATAAGTCGAACTAGGACGCCATTAGCTCACCATTCATCTCAGAAGATCTCCGCATTACTTAGGCTCCAATCACCGTTGTCGGCTGGCGCTCAAATCCACATCAAGAAAACAGATGTGGAGTGTAGCATGAATATCAGAACAACAGGTGTCCAGTAGGCATCATAGGTCAACTGAACTTGGAAAGTAAAAACAATATGAAGAATATGAAAGTAACAGTAATTAGAGGTCAAATGAACAAAGCAATAACGGAAAGTCTAACTATATAGCTCACGAGTCTGAAAAGAACGAAGTAGTAAAGTAAAGCAATAATCTATAACCTAACTGGACCTCTATAAGCCTAGAAAGTATGTATACTCGTGCACAATTAGAAAGTAAATGTATAACTCAAACGAGTTTGGACTCACATAAGGTCGATAAGTACACGGAAGTACTATGAATAACACTAGCTAGATTAAAAGCTTTCAAGAACTGAAATGGCCGACTCCAGACTTGAACTATGGCGAAGGCACCCCGAAGTGTAAGAATTATTATTAATTATTATTAATTATTTCTTACTTATGGCTCAAGTTTACTAGTAACGCAAGTAATACCATAAATAATATTTAATAAGGAATAGATCTCGTCCGTACATTGGTTACTTGATGGATATACCAGATTAAATCATAACCTCTATAAATTGGTCCTCCCTCCACCCATTAGGGTTATCATATATTCTCTACAATAATTCCCAGGTAATCAGCACTTTTCTTGTAGTGATTCATGTATTAGATGTAGCTTTATCCACCTACCAAATGACCACTAAGGTAAAAAAAGAAAAATCGCTCAATGTTCGGTATCCATATTAGAGCCCAGTCGAAAAATCTCACATTATGGGTAAAGTGCTCCCTAACACGGATGACTTCATAGCCAAAAGATTCAAATCCAAGACCTCTAATTAACAATGAATAAGTACTTATTACTCCATCATATCCCTTGGTATTAAAAACTTGGATAAAAGGAATTAAGGGGAGTTATATAAACTAAAATGACAAAAGAAGTGTAGGAAAGTGAGGAAGTAGTCAACTGTTGGAGGTATTTCTACAACACCACTCAATCAATCCAATCTCTTTTTCCATTTTTACCTTGTCGTAATTGCGGCACTTCTTCTTCATCAGCTTATAAGGTTAGATTTCTGATTATTTTTTTGAATTTGAATCTGAATCTGAATCTGAATTTGTGCTATTTGGGGATGGATATAGGGTTTTGCTGTCATTGTTTCTGTTTATGCTAATTCTTTTTATTTCTTTCCATCTTTTACATTTCAATATTGGGCAAGTTAAAATTGTTCCATTTCCAAGGATTTGTAGATTGATATTAGTAGAAAAGGGTAATTACTGTTTCATGCTCCTTAATCCTTAAATTACCTGCAAAATTGCTCTATATGCTAACTTGATATGTAGCTTTAAAAATAATTATTGACTAGTTAATGAAAAGACTAGAAAACCGCATGACTACTTCTTTACTAGTCTCCTCTTATTGACTCTATTTGGCTGATTATTGATCCGTCCAAACCATATCAGCCCAAATCGAAAGAAAAAATACAAGATAGTCCTTTATTTTTGGCTTTAGATTCGAAATCATCAATTGGTGCACTAATAGTCCTCCAAAGTTTTAAGTATTAGTGCACTTTTATCCGATGCTAATTTGAGATATTGATACACGAAGACTAAGTATGTATTATATTTTTCCTTTTTTCTTGTTTTTATTTTATTCTTTGGTTATGTTTCAGATATATAGTCAGCTTTTATTCAGGAAAACCCAAAGACTTATAGTCAGCTTATTAATTGCGTATGGAAAATAGAGGAGAAAGTTAAAGAATTAGCAAATCTTGAATGGTGCACACCAAACAATGAAAGATGCAGAGCCAAAAAATAAAACAAGTACAAATGAAGACTCATCTGCAACTGCTAAGATAAATCTAAGAATTAATTTGTGTTATACCAGAACGTATACAGCGGAGGCCATAAATGGATGTGTAAAGGATCAAAACGTTAATGAGTAAATGGATGTTAATGAAGAGATTAAAAGTGCACTAATACTTGAAACTTAAAGGACTATTAGTGCACCATATAAAAGAAAGGGAAGGGATGACCTTGAGTCTGAAGCCAAACATAAGGAACTATTTTGGATCTTTTCTCCAAAATTGATCTACAAGAAGATTTGTCAAAATATTTTTAAAAATATGTATACCCATAATATATGTGTAATGGCTTGCGGATGTAAATATTTGTGGCTGAGTGGTCAAATTTGTAACTTCCCCTTTTTTGCTTCACATGGTAATGCTACTACTTGATCTTTTTTGTTGCACTGTGTGTTCTATTAATGCATGTTTTCTAGATCTGCTCTCTTTCAATATGTTTGTAAGTTGCCTCATTCTACTTATATTTCCACCAGTATGGATGGTCGCTGTCCTTTACCAGAAGATCTAGTAGTTGATATTCTATTGAGATTGCCAGTGGAATCACTCTTGCTTTTCAAATGTGTGTGCAAGCACTGGTATGCTCTCATCAAAAGTCCGAGTTTCATAGAAAAACATTTTCATCACAAGAACAATCGTGCCCGTCTCCTTGTTTGCAACTTGAAAGTAGCACGTGAAGTAGACGCCATCGTAAGGTCTGTTGTATTCTCCTTGCTCCCTGAAGAAATTGTTCCAGGTGTGACCCCTGAACAAAAAACTCTCCTTCAGCTTCCGAGGGTCGCTGATTTCACGTGTGTTGCTGGTCCAGTTGATGGCTTATTCTTAGTGCAGAAGAAGTTTTATGGAGACAATGTCTGCTTGGGTTTGTGGAATCCTGCCACCAGAGAGTTCAGGTCTCTGCCGCCTGCGCCTTTTGAGATTGAGTACTTTTTCTCGGACCATGATCATCAGTTCGGATTGGGATTTGACCTGTTGACTCAAGATTATAAGGTTGTATGGATTCGAGTATTCTGGGATGAACCGGGACAAGGTGTTTGTCCTCGTGTCTATGCCTGTGTTTATTCCTCATGCAACAACTCATGGAAACACCTAACTCCTGAATTCCCTTCCAGTTCTACCTTATCTGCACCCCTTGATGCCACTTATCTCAACGGGGTTTATTATTGGCTTTCTAGGGGCCTTGATGAGATCTACACGATTCGCTCTTTTGACATGGGCAGCGAACAGTTTAGGGAGATGCAAGTCCCAGATATTCCAAGTGAACATTGGGGGACGCTTACATTGCGTGGCAACTCACTTGCTTTATTAACCGGTGACCCTGGCAAACCTATGACATCCATATATGATGTGTGGGTATGAACAAGAGGGAATTTGGTCCAAAGTTCTAACTGTACAACCTCATATAGATGCTCATTG